CAAAATGCAAGAATTCACAAAGACATCAAATTTCAATATGAAATTTTTGAAAATGAGACAAATTTCATAAATTCTGCTTTTAGGTGTCCCGCACTGTATGAATTTATAGAATTAATACTAAAAATTTTTTGTCAATCTAGTCAGGTAAGTGTTGAGTAATCTTTGTTCAATTTTAAGTGTCTATAAAAAAAAAAGAGCTGTGGCAAATTTTTTTTTAAATTTTGATGAATAATTCTATAAATTTGCAGAATTAAAATTTCTTTGAATTTGGTAAGATGGCCTTTGAGAAAGGTATATAATACAGTATGTTTTATTATATACTGTATAGTCTGAAATACTCCATTAACAACTCTAGTAATCAGATGTACAGATTTACCCTATTTTTGTGGCAAAGCTATAAATAAATAAGCTACTGTAGTATAACTAAAAAATTAAAATAAACCTTTTCATTTTAATTTAAATAATATAGTACCTTTATTAAATCAGTGTAAATAAATTAAAAATCTTTTAAATAATTATTATAATTGAAATTCTACATCTTTTGTTAAAATAAATATTACAAATTTTTTTTTAAAAAAAGTACAGTATATACAGCTTTATTACAAAAATTTTTGATTATTAAAAAAAATAACGTCATTAGTGATTCTACCCAAACCTGTTATTTGAATTATAATATGGAGTCTTTGCCTTGAAAATGACCTTACGGTATCATGTACTGTAAGGGGCAAAGACCTCATACTACTACATAATATAGATTTTGGAATTGGGATTTCTACATAGTTTAGACATAAAACCCAAACCCAAATATATGTTCCAATTTTAACAATAGTGTCAAACTCAATAGATTAATATATCATAACTAGTGATTTATTCAAACCTGTTATTTGAATTATGATATTACTAGGTTTGGAATTTGGGATTTCTACATAGTTTAGATATAAAACCAAAACCCAAATACATATTCTGAATTCTATATCAAAAATGTTTGACATTATGGCAAGTTAGAGATATTTTGCAAAACATAATAAATACTATTTGGGATTCTACCTAATCCCAAACTAATGGGTTTGGGCAGAATCACTAATCGTCCTGCTAATATGTCCAAAAAATTTCGCATTTTTGTGTAAACTAAGCTTCTGGACCAAATTAATTTTGGCCGAAATCAACAAATTTTACTAATAAACGCCAATAGATATATTATGTAAAGTTGCTCAGATTATAATTTTGCTATAATATCAATTAGCGGTATTAAGCTTATATTAATGCTTCGCAGGTGCGATCCGAAGGCCGAATCCGAATCGTCGGATCGAGTTCCGGAAACTTGATTACACAAAAATGCGAAATTTTTTGGACATCACTAACTTACTAACCACTTGCACCTGTTTTTAATTAGACTTGCACCCCAACGTAACGATTAATTAATAATTGAAATAATCATTTTTGAATTCATCAATCGATTGATTGCATTTTTTAGATCATGGGCAACAAAATTATAAAAATATATTTCGATTATAAAAAAAGGTATTTTGCATATATATCATGAGAATTAATCTTGGCAAGTTTCATGCAAGTAAAATTATAAAATCTGTCTTTGGTTTTTTTTTTTTTTTTTTTTTTAATGACTAATGTATTTTAATTATTAATGTCCTTCAAATGAAAACTTTTTATCCTCTTACATAAATCAATCAAATCGATCATATCGATCATATTATTTTCGCATATATATATATCTATACATATATATTTTTTTTTAGTTTCTTTTTCTTTCCGTCTTTCAACAAAATGGTCAGATCACTTGATATTCTCTCGATTAAATCCATTATTTTATGGTTTACTGCAGTATTTTTACTCTGGATCATATTTTCATCATGCAATTTTGATGAATTCAAATACAAACAATACTTTAAATACTTTACAACACTGGATTTACGAGATCCACTCGCAACTATAAAGCTTGGAGATAACGGAATTTCATCGATTACTTCACCGGCCAGAATATCTTTAGATTCGTCATTCCTTAAACCTTATAAAAAACGCAGTTTAAAAAATTCAAACCTCAATGACAATAGACTTAAAGGTCCTGGAATAGATATGGTACAGCAGCAAGCAGCATCCGAATCTTTAGAACATGAAATTCACAAACACTACGAAGAAGAATCTGAAGATTGGTGGGAAGTTTATCGAAGTTACGAATACGAAACTGCAGACTCATTAGGTGATATGTTCTTGGTGCAAGTTGAAGAGGCCCAAGTTATTCATAAGCAGCATGCACTGCTAGATGACCTTCAGCATGCTGATGAAATAACCCAAGATACAGCTTCCCAAGATGTTTTCAGTGCTGGTGGTACTAATAAACTTGAACAGAGTAATGTTAATGCTAATGCGAGTAGTGTGGCTGTGGCTGAAGCCCAACAACATCAACAAGAAGATTTGATGGATGTTAAACAATATCAAAAGATTCATGTTTTACAAGTATCAGCAGCTGGGTTAATGATTAATGAATATGAAGAAGAGAGATTAGCGGATTATCAATATCAGTTGGAGGTAGACATTTTTAATCAATGGGAATATCAGAGTGAACAGGAAAGCCAACAGGCAGATAATTTTGCCGTTGAATAGGTTACAATATCATGGTGGAAACATGAAATCCCTTTTTTTTTTTTTCTTTTTGCTATTCATAATACTGTAATAAATTTTAATATTTTAACGAATTTAGAAAATTGCTTTATTGTATACATGTAAATTATTCACATTAATTGATGATTCGCGAGTCAATCTGATAAAATGATCTACAATTACCATGTTATTTTGACTCAATTTTACTAATTACAGCTGATTTGAAAATTAGTGGGACATTAAAAAATTTGCTTGTTTCCTGAAACCTTTCGGACTCGTCTTATGAGTCATCTAACTCTTCGGAAACCACGTCACTGTCTTCGGAGCTTCGATCCAAAAATAGTGATGTGACTTCCAAAGAGTTAGATGATTCATCTTACGAATCTGAAAGGTTTCGGGAAACAAGCAAAATTTTCAAGTGTCTCACTAAATTTCAAATCAGCTGTAAAAACCTAATTTGTAAATGTGCAGACTTTTTTTATCGATTTACCATCGGCATTCCGATATGTATTGAACACCCGATTGCCTCCTATTCACACAAAATATCATTCAACTTGCGTAATATTTTTTAGATCGTTATTAGGATTTTATAATTTATCACCCCTGATCGACCAATTAGAATGCAGGTGTAAACTCTCGTGCTCTAACAAAAAAAATTTCAAAATTTTGGATTAGAACCTCTTTGCTAAACGCCCTATCCTAATCCTAACCTATCCTAACCCTAACCCTAACCTATTTATTGAAGAACTTATAGGGTGCAACATAGAGCATAGGCGAAAAAAAGATAAAATTCTTTTTGTGAATTTTTGATACACATTCCATTCAATAGAAGATCTTAGAATAAGTACTTGTTATACTTGTTAAACACAGTACAAAGATCTGGATTATTATTATTCGCAATTAGGGCATTAAACGACTCTAAAACGATAATGATACTGTAGTACACTCCATGTGTCGCTGGATTTTTCACATGATTATTACAATATTTAACTTTTGTGAAACCAAAAGATGAATATATAGGATGAAATGCAGGAGAAACATCGAAGAACAATGCATACCAAAGTTGCTATAATTACAGGCGCGAATAGGTGAGTTATTGTTTTTCTAAACTATCATGAACAGGGTAGTAAACTACAGTTGCCCTTGGGTAAGTTACCAAATGATTAAAGGAGTCCCATATTTTAATTAATTAATTAACTTGGCAATTGGACAAAATTAGACATATATAAATTGTGAACTTTTGGACATATAGGATTCTATATGTCCAATTCAAGCAAAAGAAATTGGATATATAAGCATTGCCATCCTTGACTTATTTTATCCGAATTCTATATGCAACTTAAATAATAGTAAACTTTACCCTTAAGATTAATTTTGGCCAGCATTAAACTTGATATAAGTTAGTCAAAATTAATCTAATATTATATCTTTACAGTATATAAATTTTATAAAATTACAATATTGGTCGTTAAAATTTAGTGGTGTAGGATTTGGAATTGCGCAGAGATTGTTAGATTATTCGTTGAACAATCCTTCCCTAAATATCCGTGTTGTACTTGCTTGTCGTAATCCAACACGAGCTTCAGTTGCTCGTGAAGCATTATTAGTTGAATATCCCGAAAGTTTAGTTGATACAGTAACTGTTGACCTTAGTTCGGTTGATTCTGTTTTTAAGTGTTGTAAAGAAATCAAAGAAAAGTAAGTTTAAATCATAATCATTCGTGTTAAAAAATAGGTTTTAACATTCAATTTTAATTAGGTATGATCGAGTTGACTTACTATTCTGCAATGCTGGGATATTATCATGCAAATACCTGGACTGGCGGAACGTGATATATTTAGGATTGAGTAATCCTGGAAGGTTAGTAACAGGAACTCAAACACTAGTCCAACCTATAGGAAATAAAACGACAGAAGGATTAGGTGAAACATTTGCATGTAATGTGTTTGGGCACTATGTAATGGTTTGTGGTCAAATTGTTTATGAACATTCTTTAATAACAGTAAATGTTGGCCTGTTGTTAATTTTGTTCATCTAATGTATTTATAGGTGCGTCAATTAGAGGATTTGATGAGTGTATCAGGTGATGCTCGCATAATCTGGACGGGTTCGGGTGCTGCTAACAAGGATTATTTTAATTCCGCAGACTATCAATGCATTGAAGGGTTGGTAGATTTGATAGATTTAAAATTTCGGATGATTTTAACTAATTCTTAACTTGTGTTTTGTGTAGTATTAATCCTTACGAATCGTCTAAACATTTCACCGATATTATTTCGGTAGCCCTTAATACCCGCTTGAACAGACGACATATTTACAGTTTTACTACTAGTCCCGGCGTTGTTGCCACAAATATTGTCGGTGGTCATCTGGGATGGGTTATGGACAAAGCAATGAAAGTTGGATTCATCCTGGTAATTGATTTTAATTATTTTAATGAATTTTGTGACTTTCATTAAACTATAACATAAATTAGGGACGCATTTGTGGGTTACGAGAAGACACAGTTACCGCATGGAATGGCGCATATTCCAATTTTATTGTAGCTACATTACCTATCGAAGGTCTTAATAAGTCTCTTAAGTATAATAGCTATGCCAAACCGTGGGGAGCAATTTATTATGAAGAGAGTTCTGTTGATGGTTATGATGAAAAGGAAGCAACTGCTCTATTAAATCAATTAGATCACTTGTTGGAAGATTTTCTAAAAAAATATGAAATTAAATCTTAAAATATGAACTAATATATCTCAGAGAAAGTCTACCAGATAATTAATATCCAGGTCATCGATCAATCAACTTATTTTTTATATACATCATCTCTTTTATGCTCTTCATTACATGCAGGACATATTCCTGAATAATTATAATAATAGCCATATTTATTGCTAGTTGCATATAAATATCTGAGGTTAACAATTTGTGACAACCATTTTATTTTTCTAAAAATGTCACACTTTAAACCATTAACTAATTTTTACTAGTATAAAAAACCATAATTTTTGTACTGATACTTTAATAAAAATTTTTAAATCAATTTTTTAATACATTTTTGCAGATAATTTTTTTAAAAAAATGATACTTTACAGTTAAAAAATTATCAGAATGCGTAAAGATATTATTGATCGTATCATAAAAGAATTCTTCGAGAAATACTCATTTCTTGAAGTTGATTTCTTCAGAGAAATGGAAATATATATGCAATTCACGTCTAATAACAAGCTGCGACTTTATAGTGGGTTGCCAATTAAAGGCAAATGGTTCGAGTGCCTTTTAAAACACTATAAGTGATCTTGGATAAAGAAAACTGGACTTTAATGGTGATTAAAAATTGTGTTGAGGTAATCTTGACATGTCAATTATTCTTATAGATATCGAAAGGTCCCTAAGAATGCTTAAGCAACACTATATAATCTAACGGATCTAAATCTTTGCCCGGCAAAATTAAGATCGAACAAAGCATTCTTCTGGGCAAGAATCGCCACCGAAAATCTTAAGAGGGTGAATTTTTCACTACATTTATTCTACTCTACTCGTTAGTGAAAGAGTTGCCTAATTGCTTTTTTTTTATCTTATGAAAATCTTGAAAGCATTTAGTGTGTTTAAAGAATTAACATCAATGTAGCTTCATTATTAAGAATAAATGGAATGAATCATTTAATTTATTATTATTATTATTGTTATTATTATCCAAATTTACAATTTCACTACGTGCGACAAATACATCATGATCTTTAAAATCAAGAATGTACACCGTAATTTTCTGGTAATCTTTCAATTGTATATTTTCTTTTAGAAATATACATTATAGGAATGCCAGGAATTTTGCGAATACGGCGTTTTAAGTCCTTATCACATGTTGCTATAATATAACATTTATACTATTTTATTAAAAAAAAACAAGAAGATATTAATATTGAGAGTATAATGATAAGCAACAAAAAGACATATAATATAATATAATACATACCTGCATCACTCGCTTTACCAAACAATCATCTGCATATGTTCCTTTGTGAGAACACGGTAGTCTTTCAAACCTTGGATCACGCGCGACACTAAATCGAAAATGATTAGAAATATTAGAAACAGAAATTAAAGTTTTGTTCATTTTTGATATTTACCGAAGTGCGATCCTGTATTTCGGTCCTAATTTCTCCAATTCAGCCATTACACAATCTGTGATACATGGAATACCTAATTTTTTTGAAAAAAAAAGTATTGGCTAAGTTACAGCAAGTTTTAAGAAAATTTAAAATACGAAACCTTACATTTAGCATAAAGACAATCCATCATTGCCTGAACAAGTTCCAATTTATTCTGAATTGAAAAATTAATAAAATTTGTATCCACCAAAATTTGATAAGGTGGACCTAAAGCTGTATTATGTCTAAAGAATAAAGAAGAGGCTACTTGTGGCCTGTATATAAAACAAGTAAATCAATTCCTGATTACAATTAATTTTTTTCAAGATAAAAATTAAATTTTAAGAATGCGCACACATTTCGAACTGCTTCCTTTTCCTTCTCTTCATTTTTCATTTTTTGTTTTTCTTGTACGGATTTTCTAATATTGGGAAATTAGTATAATTTTTCGATTCAAGTTACCATTATGGGCGTGATCCACCAATTAAAACTATGATGCATCCTAAAATAAAATAGCTCACAATCTTGAATCCTTAGGATTTAATAAGCGTTTGACCTCGGCAAACCTTCTGGTTTTCTTCGCTTTTCCCTATAATAATAAATTATAATAAGCAAGTTGAAGCCAAAGCTATATAATTTAATTCAAAAAAAGCACATAATCAAATACCATCTTTCTTGATCGATATTATAATTGAGATTTTGCGTAAATTCACGAATTTTCGAGTTTTCGAGGTACGTTAGAGTGTTCAATCGAATAATTACCGTACAAACTAATCAAATAATTTATCAATTAGATCGAGCGATTGTCTAATTGTGTAACAATGTTTATGTAACACGATCCGGACAATTACAGAATTTCGTTAAAAAACGAATAAGAAAAGGTCGTGTAACAATAATTATCCACACTCGGATTGCTTTTATGGAGTCGAGAGATATTCCTCGTTATAGCTCGCCCGCGAAAACCTACAACACACCGGTGAGCCGTACGTCAAACTTAAGTGCAAAAGCTTCAGTCAACCCAAACAAACAGTTACCTCAATTCGATCCTTTTAAACCGGCGGAATATGTTTTGAACAATTTAGGTATCTACCTTTATATTACAAAATATTTTTACTTTTTTTGAGAAATTAAATTTCATTTGATAAATTACAGGTCCTGCACCGGGAGAAGAAAGGATTTATTCAAAATTTTTTAAAAAAAATACTCAAAAAACACCAGTAACAGAATCGAAAACTGATGGTGTGCGCTCATCATCATTAAGCAATTATAAGTCAGTTGAGGAAGTTATAGTAATATCAGATGATGAAAATGACTACCCAATAGATGATAAAGACGATGACAAACCAATAGATGGTAAAGACTATGATAAACCAATAGATGGTAAAGACTATGATAAACCAATAGATGATAAAGACGATGATAAACCAAAAGATGGTAAAGTCGATGATAAGCCAAAAGATGGTAAAGACGATGATAAGCCAAAAGATGGTAAAGACGATGATAAACCCAAAGATGGTAAAGACGATGATTACAATGTAGATAGAGATAAACTGTTGCGTCTTTATTCACACAAGCTTCATATACGTAAACCACGCATTCCTTATTCCAGAATTAGCCTTGATGATTCGGGTATTTTGTCAGATACAGATGAATTTGCTTAACTAATTTGCAGCGTGCACCATTAATATGATTAAGGAAAGGGAATAATGAAAAAAGAAGTTTTGTTATTGTGTTATAGCTTCGCTTTTTGTGCTGTTATTTCATTAGTTTAATTCTCTGTTTTACATGCAGGTAATATCAAATATATTTTTCGAGATTATAATCTGATGCTAACCAAATAAATTTGTTTAGGCAAATTTTTATTGCTTATGTACTAGTGTTAATATAAATTTATAAACTTAAATGGTAATCCATGAGAAATCGGCACTAACATCATAATCAAAGTTGAGCAAATTTAATGAATTTTATAATAAAGCCAAATCTAAAGTAGTTACGTAGTAATTTTTTTTACTAAGTTAGCCTTTCTGTGACTCTAATAATTATAAGATCGGTAAAATTGGCCTAGTAGTTCTTGAGATATCTTTCAATAATCATATAAAATTTTTTTTACAATTTTATAAAGAAATTTTATATGATCGTTAAAAGAAAAGTTGAGATATCTCAAGAACCACCAGGCCAATTTTACAGATTTATCATTAAAGAAAATATGTATAACAGAGCTATCTGTACGTGAGACGAGCTGTTAGTAGCTTTTATCTGGGATCTTTTTGATAATAAAATGGGCTGCCGTCAATAGAAATCAGGCAGATTGACATTTTAAAAAAATATATACCTCAACTTTCATAGCTTATATATTGATGAATTTTGATGATTCAGTATTCAAAGGAAAGCTTAGAACTTAATATTCCTTTTGAAAATTAAATCATTCCAAATTCATCAAGATATGAGCTGTGAAAGTTGAGGTATAGATTTTTTTTCTATTGACGGCACTTCGGGACTATGTAAATCATAGTCCTAAAATGCTATTTTATTTGTGCAATACTATAATATATATATATAGATATATAGTTAGGGTAATATATGTCGATCATTATCTATATAAATTTTTTTTATTAAATCACAGATCTGAGTTAAAATACTAAATTACTGATAAATTTTTGATCGGAGTTAAATATTAATTATTCGAATTTTAATTATCTTCATAATAGTCGTATATATATTTATTTACAAAGGTACATTTTTTGAGAAAATGGGATTAATTATAGAGTTTTTTTTTTTTTTAACATGCAAATAAAAGCATTCTCTTTAATCTAATAGAGCTATTTTCTTTTTAAAATTGCTAATTTAAATTTTACTTACGATTATTAATATATTAAAAAATTGGAAAATTATATTTATAACACCATGCTATATAACACCCTATATAGAATTTTTTAAAAATCTTAAATATTACAAAATTTTACTAGGGTAACCCTGTTGTGTAACTAAGAAAAAATATTCCTCTCACAATTTTACACTAAACCTAACCCTAAACCTAACCTAACTCTAACCCTAACTCTAACCTTTAGTTGCGATAGCATAGTCTAAATAATGGGGTGTTGTATACAACACGGTGTTGTAAATATAATATTTCTAAAAAATTACATATTTTTTAAATCTTATTTTTTGAATTATAAAATATTATTATCTAAAAAATCGCTCTATTTGATTGTAGCCCAAGTAGGGATGGGTAGGCTATAGCCAGCTAGCTGACCAGCTATAGCCATGATAGTCGACTAGATCGGCTTACCTAACTGGCTAGCCGATACCAAATTTTTTATTTTCTGGCTGATAAATTATAATTATTGCTTTAATTTGGCATAAAGTACACAAATAACATAATTATTGCAAGAAATACCCTAATTGTTCGTTACAGCAGATTTTCAATTTTGATTGGCTAAGAGCGACGATCAAAATTTAGGCTGAAATTGCTCGAAATTTTACCAATGAAATCACATTTGCCCATTAAGTGAAAAATGCTTCTGAATTAATTTATATTTTTGTAATAAAAAAGTTAGAAACTTAATTCTGGCCAAAAATTACGTAACAATTATATAATGCGGGTCAAAATTTTGTAGGCCACTAATTAAAATTGTGAATCTAAATTGGTGCGACAGTTAAGGTGTTTTGTTGTAAGATACTAAAAGACAAGCATGCTTTATCTTACAATCGAGCATTTTTTGTTGATGATTTGCAATACAGAATTATTTATTTTAATTCTATAAACTTACAGAATTAAAATAAAAAAATTTTATCGAATTTAAATCATTGATTGTTGAGAAATCTTAAAAAAAAAATTTACCAAAATTCGAATGTTTTTTTTTTTTTTTAATTATATATTTAAAAAAATTTTACTGAGTTAAATGAGAAGTCTTCAAAACAATCTAATTCTGGTCAAATTTGCAGATCGATTGGCCTACTGGGCAATAGGCCAAATGATCTGCAAATTTGACTAGAATTAGATTGTTTTAAAAATGTAGATCGGGATCTTCAATATTTTGATCATTTTGATTGGCTGTTTATAGCATGTGGCCCGAATTTTTTTTCTCATTAATAAAAATTCCTTTTAAAATCACAAATTATATATAATAAAAATTTGTTGAAATATAATAATCTAGCTTGTTTTATAATTTACTTTTTTTGATATTAATTTAAATCAATTGACAGTTAAATCTTTTCTACAATTAAAGTTGTAATTTTTTTAATATATAGTTTGTATAATTATGCAGTCATGTTATTGACAACTGCACTAAAATTCTCATATTTTTGCATTTTATGTCATGAATCATCTAAAAGTTCTGTGATAGATTAGGGATTAGATTGCAATTACTAAGAAAATGATCCACAATTTGCTGAACCAATAAACGGCTAGACCAATTAGATTCGGTGGTTTACATTATTCTCCCTCCCTCTCTCTCTCTCCCACTTAGTAAAAAAAGAATTCTGGATATACATATATAATTTTGGCCGGTGCGAATAATGTCGGGCGGAATTAAAAAAAATTGGTAAAATTACTATGTATACGATCCATTTTTCACCCTTCCCCCTCTTTTTAAAAGGAATGTAATGTAAACCACACAAATTAAATTTGTCTCCATTATAGTGTAAGTATTTTATACGTTTAATAAAAACACAATGTATGATTATATGGGCTAGGTGCCAAGAAAAGGGACGAAATTGACAAAAAAACAAAAGATCTTCAATAAACCATAAGAAAATGCAAAATTTTATTAATACAACTACTTTTATGTCTTAAGTAAAAAATAATCCTAATATTACTATAATTGATTTATGTAAAAAAAAAATCATTTCAATTTTGTCCCTTTTCTCAGCACCTAGCCCATATTATTGTATTATTGAAACAAAGACGAGGCTGTCCTTCCTGAATAGTCAAAATGACCTTTATTTATAATAAATGTTTATTGATTATGTACATAACAAGAACTGATTATATTACATTGTAAAAAATGAATATTTTTTGGTAGTTCAGTTTAGAAACTATCATTAATTTGCGCCAATATTCTGATATTTGGGACCTCAGCAAGAGTCAGATAATTAAAAAATCTGATTTTTGAATTTCATAATGATTAAAGTGTGTCACTAAAATCGATATAATACATCTAATTGTGAACTCATACTACCACACAATTAATACAGTATTATACGTTCGTTATGCATACAGTATAAGATCATAATCCCTCATGAACATAAACAAATATCTTAAGCACTGTAACATGATTATATTTTTGTACGTATAAAGTTATTAAAATAACTAATAAATCTGTCAATTATGTAGCATTTCTTCGTAGGTATATCAATAGTGTAGATTGTTAAGTGAAGGAACTAATAAGGTTGCGGCGTTACTAGTGATGCCTGACGAAACCATGTGATGCTAATTGTCACATGGTACAATATATTAAAATCAACAATCTATTTTGATTTTTTATAAGTAGTAACACGTGATAATTAATATCACGTGGTTTCGTCAGGCATCACTACGTGTTACGTAACCGGATTGTGATGCTGTTCAGGAATTAATCTCTTGGCAAAAATTTACAGTAAGAAGAAATGCATAAATATATTTTATTAATGAAATTAGAATCGTTGGTGAAAAGTTGTGGTTTTATTATTGTAGATCATTTTTTGAGAATACAATAAATGATACCAGGACTTATTTAATGTGATAAAAAATTATATATGTTGTATGATACTGCAATAGAAACACGATAATGCAAAAACTTTTCTACAGAAATAAAAGGCTTCTTCATGAATTTAAATAATCAATACGAGATTTATATTATTTTTAATAAAAAATTTCGTAAAAAAAATCTTTAATCATAAATCTATAGTGCTATTTTGTATTTTTAAGTATTTGAATTTTCGTTTGTTCGGTATAAAGACAAAAAAAAACCTGTGTTGGTGCAGTTAAAAGAGTGTTAAAGAAAAAAAAATAAATAAAAATAATTATACATCATCAGGAAGTTTTAAAATCAATAATAAACTCGTTGTTTAATTTAAAAGAATAAACATCGTACCTTTAAAAATAATCATTAAAATATACAACTAAATATTTAACTACTTGATTAAATAACATGCTGTACATTGTATATTGATATCTTATACATTGCAATGTTTAACGAAGCCCCCGTTTTTCAATGCTTTTTTAGATTGATTAACCCGGGCTAATCATCTAGATTTATTATTTTTTTATAACTTCGTGATGATGTATAGTTTAAAGAGTATATTGTCAGTTAAAACTCATTATCACCAAGCTTTCTAAAATAAAAGTGATATTGATGATTTATTAAATGTCGAATTGGTATTTATTCAAATATTCATCATTTTTAAACATAACAAGAGGTTAGCTCACTGAGATAAAAAAAAATACCATAGTAAACCCCAGAAATATAAACCAAATGAACCCAAGATGTATAGAAATCATTTAAGTGCTGTCAAGAGAAAATGAGGTTTCGTACATACAGGTTTATTATTATTATTTATCAAAATCTGATATACAAGGGTTGTTCAATGTCCAACCCAACACTGTATATTGTGATACTTAAATGTAGAAATTCACAATCTAATGAATTGTCTAGTTATGTGAATTTGCGGACTCATATTA